GACCGGTCCTTTATGCGTGTAATATTCGCGTGAGCTTGATAGTTCGCCACCTATTTTTTCCCTCTTATCTCGGCACTTTGTAGAGGGGAATTTTCTATTTGGTTTTTTTCTGCTTTTTCTACTCTACTTTTTATTTCTATTTTTTCTTGCCTTATATTCTAGCTAGTACTAATGTGTAATGCGAGCATTTTTTTTTCATTCTTACCATTCTTACTCCTTATTTCGGGATCAAAACACGTCAGTACTAGCTAGAGTATAAAGCAGAAAATGGAGCACTACCCACACAGAAGACAGGTCATCGGCATCGGACGTGATAAAAATAAGAATCACAACAAAATCGGCAACAGCGAAGAGAAAGGGAAACATGATTATCTCAGTCTTTCCGCAGCATGAGTCATCGAATACTGAAGACTGGGATAATCATGTATTGATCGGGGTGGGAGTGTGAACGGGTACCCGCACCTAGTATGAATGCGCCCACTAGGTAATGTACTGAGTGCTGCGGAAAACAAGAAAACAATGTTGTGCACGCTGCTGCAATGGAATGCCTTCAAAAATACGAAAAAGTATTTTATCAGTATGGTAGAACACGAAAGTTGTACGATTTTTACCATACGTCCGCGTGTCTAAGATCCCTTCCCAGAAAAAAACTGAGTAAAAGCTGGATGAAACAGGACCCGAGTTTTTACACTTTGTCACAACCTCCCTAACCGCCCGTCAACCACCCACGTAAGGACAAACTCTTACGGCACAGTTCGATGAATTTGAGGTACCTTTTTGAATACAAAAAGGAGAAATGCTGACGGAGATTAGCGCATCGGCAACGAGAAAATACTTCGACTTAGCAAAAAACAGAATCTCTCGAAAGTCGTGAAAAAAGAGATTGAGAAGACATGAAATGGCATGGAATGGATTTCTGAGCGAGATTCTATTTCATGCAATTACGAAGTGAGGTGCTCACAATGAGCTAAAATTGTCCATAACTTCACTCTACTGTCGTCATGGGCCACACTAATTGTTAGAATTTCAACATGAGTGTCCTTTGTGAAAGCTGTAGCCTCTACGACGGTGTCAAAACTTCTCCGCCATTGCGTGCGACTTAAAGTTAATGCAATCATTGAACTTTTATATCGCATTATCTATCCCCTTTTCCGATTCGACAGCGCCACATACGGTACACCTCAGCCACAGATTAATCCTTGGGAAATATGCTATTGACTATTCCTATCGTGAAGTGTGCCTTTCACTCATGTTTGCCCCAAAATATCTGCCACCTCGTCAGAAACTCTCATAATAGAAAAAGGTACTACCGTATATGCAACATTTGTGACGGATACGCTGCATTACCTTCTGAGTGCTCGCCGACTCTTCCAATCACTATCCCCTAATGTCTTAAATGATCTGGGTTCCGAAAATGTGATGGACATGAAAGAAAGTCAGTGATATTTGTGTTAATATATGGTCCCTATTGACTCACTCACTATGCCATCGTGAAGCTTTCGTCGCCAATCATCTACGTCCTAATTTCTGTAAACCCGCACGGAGACAGGATCGGTGAGGTCAGCTCCCCAACTGAACTCAAGCCCAATCCGTTGGCCTACACTTTTTTCTCCTTGTCTTTTCTGGCACCCTCCTCTTTGTGACTCTTTTTCTTCGAATACTAGAAAGTTTTCGAGTAGAGTTACGAGTGTTTGATCATAGCTTCGTTTCCCTCAGCACAAGCGCCAGCCAGCCTCGTAATTGAACACCCTTCCTTCTGCCCTTAACCAAACATTCTGCATTCTGGAACACTTCTAAACAGAGAAATGGTGTTTTGATCCTAGCTCTGCCCCACGCCCCGGCCATTTTGTGTGCTATACAACACAACTTCAACAGCCTCTAACCATTTTTTCCTCGACCACTTCATCCGCATTCTATAACGCTATAGAACAGAGTTATGTATCTTTGACTTTAGCTTCGACCGCTGAAGATTCAACCACATTCCTTCTATAGCATAGCACTTTTTTTCTGGGATTTTGAACACCATTACAAACTTTTTTAAAAGCACTTTCCACTCGAATGCACGCCCTACTCACAACGGCGCAACTTCGCCATGCAATGATGTCCGAGAGACTTACTAACATATTGGACCTTATTTAATCCTAATTTTGACTTCTAGGGTTTCCCTGAATCAGGCTTATTTAGAGGATACCGCTTACTATATATGTGCCTCCGCATCCTTTCCTCACTTGCGCTCCTTGCGAAAATCAGGGAAGTTTCCCTACTGAAACCCCCCTTCTGAAACCTGAACCGCCCCTGTGCGCGAAACTCCGCTGCTCTTAAGTGTGCTCCGCCAATCTTATGCCCAACATACATTATACTTGACCTAACTTCTAGAGGGACCAACCGATTAATATGGCTTCTGAATACCGTTCATCCACTGTCGGTGAGCAATCCACCAACACTCCTGACACGCTCGCGACAACAACACCGAATAGCATCGCCCCAGTCATTGTCAAAACCCTTGGCTCGACTACACCCCTGCTTTCTCTCGTCCCTTATACATTATGGAGAACCACAAAGGCTGACTGTGTTGCTGTATAAGAAGGGAGATGCGAGCGAATCGGCAACGCAACTACCTTCTGTAACCAACAAGCACTTCAGAATCAACAGGTCTTCTACAATATTGGACAACCATGTGGGCAGGCGTAATATAAAAACTCCTCATTCGAGTCGTCCTGAAGGACTGGCAGGACAACGGATGAAATATGTACGAGCAATACGGTTCCAAAGACGCAGTGCTGTCCATCACGTCCACAACACCTCAATACTAATTGAGAATTGCAGCGTACAAAATGGCGTTACGTTTCACATTCACTGATTTGCAGAAGAGCGGTACGTTACACTTCTGTTTTTTATTTTCTGCAACAGTATAAAGGATGGCTACCAAGTGCATCCCACAGGAAGTCGAAAAAACACAAGGACGGCCTCCCGGGCGATGTTTACACTTTCTCACTAAAGGAATGAATGCTTCACGTCCCTTAAGCGAGTTGTGCCGCCAGCTAGGGGAAGTCGGTGATCAGCGAGAGAAACGATCTCCGACATTCACGATGAAGCAGCCCTACCCATTGCTTTCTTCCTTAGTTCGATCCCTCCGTGAACCAAGTTTGGTACTACACTAACTAGCCATTATCATTTGGTAGAAACAAACCGTAACTTCAATCATGATGAATAGGAAAGATACTCAAAAGTTATTACACAAAATTGTGAATGAACAAGGAATCGGCAACGATGACTTATGCAAAAGCATCCTCGCCCTACCATATTGAACATAACTGAGAAAAATTACACATAAGTTTGGCGGAGTCCCGCCCACAGTAGGCGCGGCGTGCATCGAAATGAGCTGTACTAAATGCCACGATTTCAAATTCAGTCACAAGACGGCTTCAAAACTGGGGGTAGAGGTGGCTAGAGGTGTGCGCTGGTAAGTTATATCGAACAAGGAAGACCTACCCCCGATGGGCGGGACTTTCTCCAAAATTGCAACGCTTTATGAGCCGTCTTGTGACTGAATTTGAAATCATGGTTCTCAGTACAGCTCATTTCGATGCACGCCACGCCCACATGGGCGGAGCTCCGCTGATGTGTGCTTTATACCTCTCGGGATATGGCCCACCCATCCCGCGCTTGACCGGGACTATTCAGGCAGATCTAAAGGAGCTAAGGAATTTCGTGACAGACATACCTAACGACAGTCGGACGACAGACGACGGACGAAGCGCTTTACAGTAAGTAGGATACGAGGGTTCGTAACTCCGGTTCCCTATGAACTAGAGAGTTCAAATTTGGTAGGAGTACAGGCTGCAGGATGGGAACACTCATGGTGGGTTGCAGAACCGGACTCCGTCCACAAGTGGCGGGGTTTGAGTGAAATTCATAGCTCCTGTCCCCGTGGACCTCGAAAGTTCAAACGTGGTAAGAATACAGGCGACAAGATGGGAACACTTAGGGTGGGTATAAAGAATGGACTCTGCCCATTGGGGGCGAGGTTTGAGCGGAAACTCATGAATCCCGTCCCAGTGGAAGTAGAGTGTTCAAATTTCGTAGGAGCACGAGCGACAGGATGGGAACACCATTGGGGGNGGGGGTGGCTCCGGACTCCGCCCACAAGGGGCGGGGTTTGTGTGAATAACTTAAATTTGGATCTAAAGCGTTCAAATTTGGTAGGGGTGCAGGCGGCACGATGAGAACACTTACGCGACAGGACCGGACCACAGCGGGCCAGTGGCGGGGTTTGAGTGGAAATTCATAGCTCCTGTCCCCGTGGACCTAGAGCGCTCAAATTGGATGGGTGTTGCAGGCGGGGAGGCTATTTTAACACGGGAAGGAGGGGAGCTCGGCGGCTGACGTCGGCCGAGCCAACTGGTAACTTCTAAAACCAATAACCTAATAATTGCATTTCTTTTCAAACCATTATTCCATATAACCTTTACAATTTCTTCACTTCCAGCTAGATTAACGAGGATGTTTGGGAGCTCAATGACCACTGAGTCTTCACACTTAATCAGGTTCGTCTTCCGCCTGGGTGCGAACGAACTCTAGTTAAGCCGATAGCTGATGTAGTTCGAAAGGCTGGCCGATTTGGACGAGATGGTCGACGAAGACATTGAGTTGTCTGGATGGCAATTGAAGCCTATGCGCCTCAATGGCAAGGTGGCTGCGAAGGGCGGCGCCATTCGACCGCTTTCCTCATCTACGGGAAGAGGGGGAATTCGTAGTACGCGTATGGACGCGGGTAGATAGTTCAGTCACTATGTGATTGAATAAGCAAAGGAGAATTAGCCAGATGCGTACGCGTAGGTAATGCATATATTTATATATAATAGAATCATAAGCCTTAACGAAATCCTAGAAGCCTAGACTACTGTGAAATTGTCGGCAGATACTTTCCGCACAACCCAATGTGTATATACACATAGAAAAAAGGTCAGCAAACAACATCTATATATAGCATACCAAACTCACCTTCTTGAGCTGCGTCTATCTCGATCGCGAGATCGATCTCGATCACGTGATCGCCTCTTTTCGCGTTCACTAAAGCAATCTTTTACATAGNATTCTGGTAGTTGACTACAACGAATATAGGTGAAGTCCTTTCTAGAAATTCTACTCCAGAAGTTCTTAAAAAGGTGCCCCTCCCCTTATTCTTCTCGTCCTAAGAGGCTTACCGCTTCTCCCTCTCTTCACGTGCTTTTTGCCGCTCCCTTTCGTTTTCTTCATCTCGTTTGCGGATACGTTCCTAGAAAGATTGTAGCACAATTCCTCTCTCTTCCTCCCATGCACGAAAAGATAAAGGACCTCAATAAGAACCCACCCGAAGTTCTTCAATAGTAACCTTAATTTTTGAGAACCCCATGTGCATTTTGCCACTGAGATGCTCTTCTACTCTGCATTGTGCGTCATTTTTGATCAACATCGATCCACAGACTTCGCACACCTTTAAGATACAATTATGAAAACAATGACTAATCATGAATGAATTCGAAAAGCAACGAGAAAGTTGAGCTAATTGTGAGATGAAATCATGATGAGCTAACTTCCATGATTTTTATCGCTGTTTCATCAATTGGAGCAGGCAGTGGAGCGTTGCTGTTCAATCGCTAAACACCGAAAGTAAAGAAAACGGACTCCTGACTGGAACAACTGAATGAAACTAAAGAACGTCTAACTTCAACGATTGCCGCTTTTTGCTTTTCAAGTTGTTCGGCTTTATCAACAAGTTCTTGACATTTGGCAACCAGACCTTCCTCGCCAGCCTTAAATGATATAAACGATATGATTGATAATTGACTGGAAGAGATTTGGTATTCGGCTAGAAACTAGTGAAGACCTTCTCCGCATCTGCCATGCACTTTTTTATTTCTAGATCCAGCCTCGCCATTTCCTGTTCGTCTCGCATTTTGCGCAGGTCTTCTTTCTTCTGCAATCCAGAAAGACAGTTTTTATTCCACAAAACAATACGAATGTCAAAGAACAATATGGAGAATAGGTTACCTGACCATTTTCTTCACTCGCTTTGAGTTTTTCAAGATTTTTCCTTATTCTCCTTTGATTATCTTCATCCAGACGAGACAAAAACTTGAGAAACTCCCTTTCGAATCCAAGTTTTTCGAACTTGTCACTTTTCGGATACTCCAGTCGTAAATTATCGTCATGCACACGAGGACAGGCCCCTAAAACATATATATATATATATATATATATATATATATAGAAAGATAGGGTTAATATCGGGATATAACCCATTGGCGACCGCGCGTTTTAAGTGTGACTGGTGCGTGGGACAAGNTCACTTTTCGGATACTCCAGTCGTAAATTATCGTCATGCACACGAGGACAGGCCCCTAAAACATATATATATATATATATATATATATATATATATAGAAAGATAGGGTTAATATCGGGATATAACCCATTGGCGACCGCGCGTTTTAAGTGTGACTGGTGCGTGGGACAAGTCCTCTTTTCGCGGGCTGCTGCTGTCGCCCGCCGGCGGGTCACAATGTCCCAGGAGCAAACTAATTTCTTAAACACCTCATTTTTGAGGTAAAGCTAAACAAAAATGTCACTGAAGAAGCGACAGTCGGGCACAAACGACGTGCTACGTTGCGGATAACCTAACACTTTTTCGGTGGGATTTTGATGGAACTTTATTTCGAAGAATGAGTGCTTAAAACAACATCCCCTCTTACTTTGTTAGGCTCTAACTGTTAGAAATTATGAAACTGCTAGAAAATAGGAAACTGCTCAATTCATCTCTGATTCTTCACGGCTTGTGTGGTCCAGAGCCAGCAAAAGGCCACAAAACTTTCTCAATACACACGACGAATTTTGTCCTTAAACCTCTGAGGATTGGTTAGAGGCAGATAGCATTGTTATACTGAACCTTGTAAAACCCTAACATCAGAGTGTATTTGGCAAGCCTCCCTCTCCAAAAAGTTTCCAATTAGGGTTGAAGGTCCGAAAGGGAGCTGGAGAAGATGCACTGGTTGCTGTATGGAATATCTGTGGAAAAATTGCGCTCATCAGTCATGCAAAAAGGATCTCATCAAAATGCATCAGTGCCCCAAGAATTTTATTTCGAGTGTTTTTTCAAGCTATTACACGCAGTATAAGTAATTGACCATTTGGTAACGCATGATTTTGCTCCTTTTAATAATTTCCTTACATAAACTTTTGTCTTCTCTTAATATTACAGTTGGAAGTGAGTGATTCTTCGACCACACGCCTCAAGAATCTCTAGAAGGCTGTGAGCCTAACTGTTATTCGAAAAATAAATCGAAAAGTATGTAAACACTACCGTGGCCCGCCGGCGGGCCACGCGGTCATCAATAGGATAGACAGGTGTCCCCAATTATGGGCTCCAAAATTAACGGACTTCTCAGGCAGAAATTTCTTAGTAATTTCGCTTCATTCGCTATTAGTCAGTTGCATGATAAGGTTTCTTGCAATGTGCGCAGTTACCGAAGTGAGACCAGCAATACCTTTTAGGAGGTGAAGGCTCATTGACTGCGTTCAGACTTCGTCGTCCGTCCGTCCGTCCGTCACTTGCGTGCCGCGACGGTGGCTTCAGACAGCTGTTGACAGCGTCTGATACCGATCGATACCGCAAGACGGGGTGATGGAATCAGTCGTCCCCTTGTCTTGCAGTATCGATCGGTATTCAGCGCTGCCAACATCTGTCTGAAACCGCCGTCGCGGCACGCACGCGACGGACGGACGGATGGACGGACGAACGCCAAAGTCTGAAAGCAACGCAAGCAAGCAATGCCACGTGCAATCGTTCGCATCGGAAAGGCGTAGCAAAATTCTTCGTGATTCAAATACAGACCTACAGATCCTACATGGGTTCCCTTGTGATCGGTGCAGCCTTTATAAAGATGGTGAACTCGTTTGAGGATACATACGAGCCAATCTTTGAGCCTATATGCCTCTCTAACCAAACCGTTTTCCAGTCTAATAGTGCCAGATATATATAAGGTTGGCGCCTAAGTCTTTGCAACTTTTGCGATTTTTTTCAATTTTATTTTTTTCCTTCACGACAACTAAACATTAACATATGTTATATGCACCGTCACTATCGACAAGGTATTGCCATTCATCAGGCAACTTGTTGGTCTTGCTTGCATAGAATTCCTGGGGTTTCAAGGAGAAGAACTGCATGTAGTTCTTCTCCTTGAAACCCCGATGCACGTCTCGAGTTGATTTACATAATCGAACTTCATATTTTTCTGATGGTTTGACAGGAGCAGGTGATCCCGTTGAAGCCAGATCAGGTGAAAAAGGGTGAGTGGGCCAGAGCATGCCATCCCAAGCTTTGAAGTTTCTTCCAGGCCTCTTTCGAAATATGTGGGCCAGCACTGTCGTGGAGAGAGTAGACTTCCCCCTGTTTCTCACTTAGATCAGCAGCAATAAGTATCACAAAGTACACACGGCTTTGGTGCTGAAAGTGGAGTATGATGGCCGCAAGTCCAAGTGAATGATCCTCCCGAATGGTTACGAACGCTGCATTACCTTCCCCGTTGTAGTTCTGGCTTGGGGGTCGGGATTCCATGCTCTACGCGTCCGAAACGCTTGCGCTTCCTTGTATGGTTTACTTATTACGTTTATTAGTACGCTGTTTGAGTACTGGTCTTGATCAATTTTCACGTCTGCGCCGGAGAAACCACGTGCGGCTCACCCTTGCCACTGATTTCCTCGAAAAACAAGGTTTCACTGTTCTGATAGCAAGCTTTTTGTGAGATATTACGCGCTAGATGTTTCTTTCCGGAACGCGAATGTTTTGGTTGTCGAGGGATGGTTTTATCGTGAAAAAAATTTTGGCCAGAGAAAACGACGAAGGGTTGCGTGTCATCACTCAAGTGGGTCTGCAAGTTTCTGCATTTTTTGGCCCTGCAGTGTCTGCTGAGATCAGAACTGAAGCGAAATTTCTACATACGATAGGAATGGCAGTGAAGCTTTTGCACGACATTCTTCCATCGCGATAGCTCCTGTAAGCCGTGCCCGTCGACTTCCTTTTGATGAGTCACCCAGGATCCCGATTAGCAGACGGGCCATTTTAATAGTCCTATCTTCAGAAACGTTCTACCTTTCTACCTTTCCTGGTTTGTCTCCGACTCAATCTTCTTTTCTATATCCTCTTATACAGGATACAGGATAATATCCTCTTATACAGGTATTATATAAATCCCAAGGGATTTCATAATGCCCTTCCACATCGCGCATGTCAATGATTGCGAGTGGCATTGAGTGAGCCTCCTACACCTGAAAGATATTGAGAGTTTCACATCAGTTCCCATGCATTCTGCAAGGAAACCTTTTTAGGCAACTAATAACAGGTAATGTCGATTTGATAAATTATTTCTACAATAGAAAATTCTGAAGTTTGGCGACAATAATTTTGGGACACCCTGTATATATGTATACATATATATACATGTATACATACATACATACATACATACATACATACATATATACATACATACAT